GCCATCATTTTTTTTTTATGTAGAAAATTGTTATCAAATTATTCATAGGTACACATTGTAATGAATTCCTACCAATTATCAAGGTAAAAAAACAAATTCTAAAATAAGTGAGGGCACACTGATAAATAAGTGAGATAAAAATAGAATTTTTGAAAAATTCTATGCCTAAAATTCAAAACTTCCTTTGGTCAATGCGGACACAGGGCCCCCAATGAAGCCACTAATTGACTTGATTTATTTTAAACTCTATGCATTCAAGGACTTGAACCACTTGTGTATTTTGTCTTGAAACAGGAAAAACGAGCACTCTGGTCATTTATCTTTGTAATTGTGGCAATTTAGTCCATTAAACGGCATCGTTTACTAATTTAGGTTTTCATCTTCACAGAATGAAGCCCATGTAAGAATTCTAATACTAGAAAGTTGGAGAAATATAACGGAATTAGTCACTTGCTACTACGTGCACTATTAAAGAAAAACTATTTTGGTCCCTCATTCTTTGGAGTTGCGGCCAATTCAGTTATTCATGCATTATAAGCTACTAGTTTAATCTTTCATCTTCACAAAATAAGCCAATGTATTTTTAACGGAGAATTGATAATTAACCAACGCAGAATTTTTAACATAAAATTGGAAACCCTAATAAAACCTATTCCGTTACACGGGCTTGGGCATCATTAGTTAACATAACTCGCGAAGCATATTATGCAGAGCTTTGGCTCCTTTTCGATGGATCCTTACTCCATGATTTTTCAGTGGTTTTAAACTCGGATCGGATTAATCGGTCTGACCAATTCAACCGAGAATCGATCAGATGTCCGGTCCGAATTGTCCTAAAAATCCGGATGATAGAAACTCGGTCAAATCTAGGCTTGGAGTCAAAACTCGAGTTGACCGGAAATCGGTAAAACCAGTGAGAACTTGGTTTTTTATTTTCCTTTTTTGTTGACTGTTTTTTTTCCTCTTTGCCTCTGATCCCTACTGATCTCTCACATCTCTGCAAAGTACAAACCCATTTCACCTCTTCGACTCCTTCAATTCAGCCACCACATTAGTCCTCGATATCTTTTTCTAAACAAGTTTTAATCTTAAATCTAGGGAAAAGACCGCAAAAAAAAGAAAGAAAAAGAGAAGAAGAAGAGAGAATAAAAGTTTGATTATTTGTGAGTTTTGAGAATAAATTACTAATGATATAAGAATGGAGATCCTAAAAAGAAAGAAGAAATAAGAATGGAAGCAAAAATTCAAGAAAAAAAAATGAAAAACAGAAAGAGCGGACAAAATCTAAGGCTTGTTTCTCAAAACGTTTGGAGTAGTTGCCTAAGAGTTTTCACGGTCGACGGGCTTGAGACTTGAGAGCTTATGATACTTTCCATCCTTTTTTGGATTATTAAAAAAAACAGTGGACATGAATGGTTGGAGAAGAAGAATAAGAAAATGTAGCATAAGAATAGAAGGAGCCTTTGTCGGCGTTTAGAGGAAAAGGAGGAACGAATTGGGGGAATAATGTGGGGTTCAAAAAGCTTTTTCAATATTATGTTCTAACCCCTTGGATATTGAAAAACTATTAACATATCTAGAAACGTTTCACGGTCTATAAATATTGTCCATAAATTTAACTTTAAACTTACAAGTATGCATTGAATTATATTAATTGCTACTTGTTTGTTCTAATTTCTTTGCACTTTCTTATTAAATAGTTTTGAAACATTAAACACAGATATATACACCTTTATTGATATTAACACACTTTTAGATATTTTACATAACATTTTAATTTTTATTAATAGCATCATATTGAAGTTATGGCTTCTATGAGGATGACCTCGATATGTCAATCACTATTTTGGACTTATAATTTTTTTCTTACAAAGTCTTGTTGGACTAAATCTAAACTTTTGAAGTTGTAAACCACAAATTTAAAGATAAATTTTATATATTATTTTGATTATATATTATTAATAAATATTTATGATATATTTATGATGTCATTTGAATTAACCCCAATCGAACTCATTGACTCTTGACCCTTGAATTTGGCCAAGTCAATACCCAAGTGTGAAAACATGGCATGATTCACAATGCACATTTAAATATATGACACATGTGTTATTTACTAGGAAAGGACATGATCACTTTTAATTTTGATTAATCCTAACTCTTATCAATAAATGAAAGGGTAAAATATACTTTACCCTCTTATGATTTAGCACTTTTTGACATAACTCCTTTGTAAGTTTAAATGCTATACATAACTCTCATAATTTGAACTAAGTGTCAAAGTAACAAAATTTGCATTCTATAACAGAGTCAATTAAAATATCAAAAACACCCCTACATAGTTGGAAATTATTTATTAACCATAGGGTTATGTATATATTTTGAACCATAAGGCGTTATGTGATAAAGTACTAAATTATAAGAAAGTTATGTGATAAAACATAAAATCATAAGAGATTAAAGTATCATATATATTATGTTTATATATTTTGCTCACATTCAGTCATTTGAATTTTTAAACAAAGGCAATCTTGACATTTTTGTGACTATGTTATAGAGGATTTTTTCCGTTATTTTGATACTTTAGTTCAAACTAGAAAAGGGTTATCTATAACTTTTAAAACCATAAGAGGATATGCAAAAATCGCTAAATGACAGGAGGTAGAGTATATTTTACCCTAAATGAAAGTCACAAGCATCTAACTGTACATTGTGGAAAATTGATAGAGAGGAGATCCATTGAATAGGAGCCAAATTAGGTATTACTCACAATTCATATATTAAAAACATCTCAGAATACATAAAATTTATGTTACATGGGGTCGTTATCCATATTCATTCTTTTGATTTATACCGGAACATTGTCATTTATGTGTACTTCGTCTCTGATGGCTAGTTGTCGGAGCCAAGGAAGTTGAACTGAAAGGAGCCTTCTCCTTCCATACTGTTGTGCCCGTTGATAGAGCCTGTCAATGATATTGGATTTTAACCACTCCCATGATTTCTTAATTTGGGATTGGGGTAACTGATATAATGAAAATAAAATGGATAGTGAAAACAGAAGTGGGCAAACCGATTCTGGGAAAAAGATTGATGATAGAGATGCCAATGACACAGGACCGAAGAATGTCATGGTGCTGTGAACGAGGAAATGGACATATTTATTAGGATCATCTCCAGAGATTCTGAGCTTGACATCGCATGACAAGAAGTACAGGACCAAACTGACGAGGGCCAACAACGTGGTCTTGGGGCGTGTTTCAAAGGGAGATTCGTCTTTTCCTTGATACTTGAGTTGGAGAAAGTTAAGCAACACCGTGACAGTCAAAGCAAAAATGGCCTGGCAACGGGATAATAATGTATCGTGCGGTTTTGGAAAATCGCAGTATCTCTGGATAGTACTGATAGCAGTGTACCTGAATTGCAGACTAGAGTTTCTGCCCAAGCGAAGGAAATAGTAGTAATTTGTTGGTTCAGCAGGTGCCGCCATTCTAGCAATAAATATGCCTGTAAAATGCGTATCATTACACCATGAATTCAGTATCACGTACTAATATGTTGAACAAGACAGGAAGAAGCATGAAAACTCCCTCTCCAGGGAAAGTGGGGGAAAACTAAATGAGCTGATAAGAATCGTAACTTACAGGAAAACGGAGGAAACTCCTGTAACTAGCCCTGTCTTCGGCTCTTTGCCTTGTGGCCAAGCTGATTTATAAGAGTAGCAAGCTAATATGAGAAGTTCAATGTCGGCTGACTCTCCAGGTATAAGGTTTGTCGGGTTATGACTTATGGGCTCTCGTTAGCAAACAAACAAGCATGTAGCGGAAATTTGTGGGAAGTGCCGCAGCAGAGCCCGCAGGCAATAACTACTGTTTCTTGTGAGCAAAGTCCCTGTAAAGGTTTGATTGCGCCCTCATAATTTTGGAATTGTCAAGATTTGTTACTACAAAGTTGATTTGTGTTCAGTTTACAATTGTGGGGTGGAAGTAGGAAATGAATTACTATAAGTTAGGGGCGGTGGAATAATCTAAACATATGTAAATTTGAGGGACTAATTATACTAGTTTAGTGTTGTAGTAGGACCAAATCATAACTATTAAACAGAGTGCAGGACAAATTTTCCATTACAAAATTATGTCTTAAAATTGTCGAAACTCTTTGGATTGTAGCGCAATTTTGGATGGTAATGGTAATTCTTTGGGCAACTGCTTTGACGTATCCGGCACCACCATTCTCTGTTTTCTTGCTCATTACTAAACATTCTTATCAGACGACTTCCAATGAATGACTATAAGACTTTTGTTAACTTCGGAAAGCGCATTGCCAGTAGTTATCCGATCAGCCACCAATAGATTGCATCGTGTCCGAACTTCCGACAACCTTACAAAGATTTGTTTCTGAACCTGATGGAAGGTTATGGACTTTCTCTGTTGGCCAAGTATAATTAGCAAAAGAAGATTCAAAGTATAAATAGTAGAATCACAATTATACTCTTTCAATATTTATTATTATTATTTTCTGTCGCTTAAATCGTATTATCACTTAGTATCAGATTTTCTAACTAACAGTTGGTCCAGATAATTGTGTGCAGGCTATTATTGTTAGGGTATAATAATTTCTTTTTGTTGTGAAAATTAAAATGTATGTGGGGTGTCCTACTCCAACAATTAACTATCAGTACTGAGATTGTATCGAACAAATATTGATTTGCTAACCTAAACAACCTTGACTGTCATCTTGTGTAAATAGCACGTAGACGTTGCAATCCGTATAAAAATGAGTAGTTCTGAAAACAGGAGGAGGATTTTAAAGAGAAGTATTTGTCTCTCTTTAGAAAAAAGGACACCACCATTAGTAAACTATATCCAATATGGTCCAGGAGAGACTATAATGATTAGTTTGAGGAGATCTTCTTTCTGTCCAATCTTCAGAACCTGCTTTCTAAATATTAGAGCAGATCGCATGAGAACTCGTTTACAGCATGGCCCTTTACGCTTGACCTATGCGCCATCCTTCAAGTATGGAACGACATATCGCATTGTATCGGACAGGGAGATCAGAAGGTGAACTCCGGGCACACTAATCAGCTTGAGCCTTCCTGTTTCATCCAGAGTTCTCAAACCGATCCAATCCTCCGTGTAAAGCCGAGTCTGCAAGGAACAATTCATGTCAAAGGGATTCCGGATTATCATTACTCTGCATGCCTAAATCCTACGTGATCAAGTAACATCTTTATGTTGCAGTCATTTCATTTTTCCCCACCAATGTTTAGTTGCTAGCATAGAGAAGGAGGGTTAAAAAAAAGAGGACTGATTTATCATCCAATTTGATTACCTGCTGTAGGGGCAGAACTGGTCCGGGAATCCCATCCGCGTAGTATCCAAATAAGGAGCTTTCTTTTGGCTTCACAACACCGTCTTCTTGAAACTGTTTCATGACAAAGTTAAGATAACAAAATGATTCAAGTGCACAAACTGCGCAACGTCAATCATTTTTAAGCCAAAAGAAACAGAAGGATCGCACTTAAACGACAGGCAATCTGCCATACCATGATAAGCACAAGGTTCTTTAAGTTAGTTATCCTTTGCTTGTAGGTTGCATTTTTTTGCAGGAGTTCATTGTTAAGCTTTGGGAGAAAACTGCACTTCGCTAGATATACCAAATAATCCTGCAATAGAAGCGAAGAAATAAAAATTTCAGATGCTAACACTTGGGAATCTAAAACATAAGTTTGACACCCTTTCAGCTTGTTAGTAACTAATTTCATAACATGCACAATTTTGTATTAAGGAAAATGTAGAACAGTTAAAAAAGGGAACCATCTAATGTCATCTTGGGAGCAGAAGTCCTCCTATGACCATAAGATGATATACAGAGAACGAATTAGGAAATGCTCTATCAAGTAGAAAACTGTGTACTGACATATGGTAGCTTGGTATAGCCACTTGGGGCAACATGAGCCTGCAATCGCAAATCAAAAAAGTTTCAAGCCAGCATCTTTAACTCAACTGGGCAGAACGGAAGAGATAATTTAAGTATACTTGAACATAGTTTGTATATACTCCCCGGCCGAGCAATGCAGCATAATGACTGCAGAGGGCATCAAACTGCAAAAATGAAGAGAAAATCAATTACTGTACAGTTTAATGTTATGTGGCAAAAACTGAATAGAACAGAAAATTCATTTTTACCCAAAAAAAAAAAAAAAGAACGGAATATTCAAGTCCCACAGCTTCATATAAGTCCAAACTCAGAAAGTATATATAGACAGGTCTTTGTTTCAAGTCATCTGTAACATTAATTTGTCCTCGGTAATATCAATTTCTACTGTTTGCTGTGAATATTAACCGTATTAGCTTCTTTTTTTTTCTTCTCCTGGTTGCAAAGAAAGTGCAGATATTAAGCCAATAAAAAAAAATTTCCAGATGTTACGCCAATAAAGCAAGTCTGTTATTAGAAATGCCATAGTAGGAAGACTAATGACAATGTTATGAGAGAGCTTACTTGAGAGCAATTAGGAATAAATGCAACACCAGCATGAGGCCCTCCTAATGATATAAAATTTATTACCTGTTTCATCAATTGAAAGAGGAAGGTAGTATCAATAGCGTAAGAGTAAAGAAAATCATGGTTCAAAAAAAAAAAAAAAAAGGAGGACAACAACAAACAACAACAATTAGAACCCATTAGGATTTAAGAATACTGGAAAATCAACGCATCTTAACGTACTGGAAATGAAGATTCCAGATACATTTTTGCAGATACCTATTCCTATATTACTTGTTGAAGCTTTTCCCTAGTTTCTTGCAGATAACGTTATCAGCCATGGAGATTTGAAGTTGGACTTGCCAAAATTTATCATAAGAGTTATGTCTAACAATTTCAAAATGCGAAACTGAGAAGTAGGTGGGGCTACTATACAATCCAACCAGGAGGCTTTTGTGGATACAAATGCATAAGAAAAATTGGCTTCAAATGTAATGGTTGGAACTTAGAGAAGGTGAATGCAATGAATTACATGAACACATAAGAAATGCTTCTTAGATTCAGTTACTATTAAACCCTGTCCACTTAAAAAAAAAATACACCCTCATTCTACAATAACAAAGTAGCCATATAGATATTTAAAGAAAGACTTAAGAACAAATTATAGAACAGGAAAAAAACTAATTATCAGAGTTCTAGCTGCTTCTTCTTACAGGTGGTGCATCATCACATAACTCAACCAGACCTCGGCCAACCAAGTTACCCTGCAAAACAGATTGCAATTTTGGAAATGTTATAGCAATGAGAATAGTTAATGCTGATGGTATGGAATGCTATCACGAACTCGGGTGATGGAAATCAGAATATGCTAAACAATTAGGATTAAAAAAATCGTGGCTGGAGAAATTCATGAATCATATTCGTTAATCATGGGTAATATACTTCCAAACTAGATTTAAAAAAAAAAAAAATTTCTAGTAGGGGAGAAAAATTAAGAAGGAAATAGGGGATAGGATTTGAATCCAAAACCCTTGAAGGTCAACATTAGGCACTAGATCAAGATCTCGACCCAAACTTGATTATGTACTAAAGATTCGAAGACTAATTTTCCGATACATTTTAAGGAAAAAGAACCCAAAGTTGTTACATGTGGTGATGATATACCAAACTTAACAATCTTTTGTTGCCCACAAAAAACCAAAAAAAAAAAAAAAAAGGAAACCAATCCATTTTGATATTGTTACGCATCTGCAATCCTACGGCAACCTTTGACAAAAACCGGTTCTTTTACAAAGAATGTTACATATTTGAAAGCATAAAACAATACGTTGCTTTCTTGTGAATGTTAAAGGGAAGTTTCAAATAAAATTAATACCCAAAACGAAAAGAGTCCTTAAAATGAAAGAGACAACAATATGCAAGAAACAGACAATATGGCATAGACACGAGTTAATAATCACCTGGGATTGACCAACAATGTTATAGCCATTTTGGAGCTCAGGTATTGCCTTCACCTTTCTACAAACTTCTTCGACCTGAAATTTTCAAAATGAAACTTGAAGGTAACAATTTAGGATATCATATATGCAGGTTAACTGTAAAAAAGATAACCTGATCTTTAGTCATATATGAACGTAATCTGATCTTTAGTCAATAGTAAGTAGACAATATCTTGCAATATACAACAAATTAATCAACCACCTGTGCCTCCAAGGGAGTGTCCCAGGATGTTATTGCTCCATTTCCAACTTCTCTGCAGGAGAGGAACTATAAGTATAACGTAAAAAAGATGGTATTTCTCCTCTTGATTGTAACTTGTCTGTGTCTGTTTGTATTACATGCAAATTACTCGTAGAAGAGAGCAAATTTGAAAATTTCAATTCGGACTACTAATATGATATTCATGAAAGGAGTGGACAACGGATATGTTCCCACTAAAACATAAGAATTAATGTTGAGGTGCAATGCTGATAATAACGTACCAAAATCTAGTAGTAATCAGTCATATTCAAACTTGAAACAGAATTCTTGAGTCCTAAAACTAGTCTTAAACAGCAAGCTTAGATAAGTTATATTATAGAGTACAACCTCGAATTTCAGAGGAAAAAGCTCGTTTGAGTTTGGCAAAATTCGAGGATAGTAAATCGAGTGAAGTTTATACGAAGGTCCAAAAATGGTAGAGGGGTTAATTTCATAATCTTATAGTTACATATCAACAAACTATGAATTGATAAACAATCTCCATGGTTCAGAAACAAGGAAAAAGAACCAAAGAAGTCGTGAAAAAAATGTCATACAAACAAAATCCAAGAGATCCTGATAGATATCTGAGTTGCTGAGTGTAAAGCACAGGTCCAGGGTTTGAGCACGAATCGCCAAGTCCTACAGGACAGAAAAAATTTCCATCTGAACTACAAGATTTTAGAAGAAAAGGTGCGATTGTGCAATATGGCTTAATGCACTTAAAATAGGAAAAAAAAAATAAAAAACACGGTAGACTACCATGGAGTAGGATGAAAGGGAGGGAAGAACAGAATGAAACTAAAGAAAAGGCAGAAACGATAAAGATGATGAATGGTGAGTAGGTAGCCATGGAATCTTCAAATTCTTGGTTTCCTGTCTAAAAACAAAAATGGGTAGACGGAGGTACAAATTATGGAGTATATATTTGTATGCAACAAAAGAATATGTAGTAATGATACAGATGCAAAGCACTTGTCCTCGTCAACTTTTGCCTTGTGCATATGCATGTATGTTCTTGATTTTCAGCAGCATATTTTAACTTTTATTTTTTATTCTCAGAAATATAGCATAGGGTCAGAGGTTATAGAAATCATGCGATAATTGGAGCTAGAAAGGGACATTCCATCCTATTTTGTTCTCAAGTAGAGAAAAAATAATATTATTTTACTCTATAATTTTGTTACCAAATATGAGTTTGACAGTTGCTTTTGTTTACTCAATTTCTCTAATGAGGGCACTTGGGAAAGGGAATAGTTTGTAATGAAGGAAAGTTTTCCAGCTGTGGATTTCTAGTTATTTGTTTTCTTTCTTTGACTCAAGGTATAAAGGGAGAAGGGGATAGTTTTCTAGGCCATAGAATTTTGATTATTTGTTTCTTTCTTTTCATTCTAGGTATGTATAAATGGAAAATTATCAGTCATGTCCATCTCTTGTTTTAGATTAGATCCTTTACTTTATTTTTAATTCTTTGCCAGATTTATTATGTATTCATTACATTGATTGTAGTGGCAATAGTTGTTCCCAAAAATCTAAAATATTTCTGGAAACCTGAAATTGAAATTCATTAATTACTCTTATTCTAGTTGCATGAAGGATTCCCATCTCCTATCAGTTTTTTGACGCTTTCAAGTAAAATGTTTAATCATTATACCTGGTCCCTCTTTCCTCTCCACACAAATATATCCTAAAACAACAAAACTCCAATTCTACGGTTGATTTAAAGAAATATAATAAAACAAGGAACCAAAAACAAAAGGAAATACAATCTCATTAGGAATGAAAGAACTATAATTAAAAAAGAAAGGAAACAAAAGATAAAAGGAAATACAATCTCATTCGAATTTCATTTGTATTGCTTTAGATTAGACATAAAATAAAAATATTAGTAATTACAACGACATAAGTTGTATAACATATATACGGGAGAACCAACCTTTATATTATTTGAACACCTAATTGGTTAACGGGTACTCATTAAGAGGAGTCTCAAGTGTTAATTTTTGAAAAAAGTGTAGTTAATTTAGAAAAATATCACAATTGTATATTTACATGGTAACTTATATGTGATTTAGATGTGCCATTGAATTCCACGCAGATGACCTACAGAAAATTATAAATTTCAATTTAGTATTGTCATATAGGTCTAGTGTTTAGCTTTTTAAACACCAAAGATTCCGTATTGAATTAGGTGCCACATGCCACTGGCCATTTGGTCCAGTGGTCATCACCATTAAAGGTGATGCTGGAGGTCAGGGGTTCAATCCCTGCCTCCCACATATTTGTCACAATTTGTGGCGGTCTTAAGTGACCTTCATCGATGGAGTCTTAGTACTGTTCATTGTTTCTCGACTTCCTAGTGAATTTATTTTGAGTATGTTAATATATTAGTTATTGAGTTGCAAATTTTGAACTTAAATTTTCAGACTTTATCTACTATTTTCAATTGCACCCCCCCCTCCGAGTCTCAAATTCTAGTTCCGTCCCTGCTCGCAATATTGACCATTTACCTTGAGTTTCGTCGTCATTCTTATCATTTTTCAACAATCGAAATTACTGGAAATCACATAACAAAGTTGGATTAACACTCAGAAGTAATCGAAATCCTGGTGCAAGCACAATTGAAATTACTGGTCGTCACTCTTATCATGAACAAGTCCATTCTTATCCGAATTTTAAGTCTTGCTAAGATGAGAGATTAAAGAAAACCAAAAAAATTGCTTCGCGTAAAAGCTAAACATGCACGGATTCCGACATGCATGTTTTTGCGAGTAAGATTAGCTGGAGACCTTTACTTAAGAATTACAAGCAGTTCATGTTAACGGACTGGTGCTATCGTTCGACAGGATACCATAATTGCCTGTATCATTTCTGTGACATCTTGACGGCCTCTTTTTTTTCGTTTGTTGAAAAAAAAAAAGACGGCCTCCTTTTCTTTTCCTTCAAAGGGATGACGATTGTAATTGATAGGTAAATATAGTATAAATATGCACAAGTTGTGCTTCACTGATAGAAGTGTCAAGAATAATGACTGAAATAAAGAAGAAGAAGATGAAGAAGAAGAAGAAAGAAAGAAAGTATAGGCTAGACCTTCCCAATCTCATAAGAAAGAGGAAAGAAGTGCAGGCCGTTTATAAGGATCTTTTGCGTGTTGTGAATATGTTCATAAAGGTCATCTGGTAGTATTACAAATGATTTCGTATAGAGAAGCACATACAAGCATTTTGCAGGCTAACAATCAGGACCATGATCAGAACCAAAGCCGATATCTGCTACAGATAAAGATTTAATTGGTTTACACAATTTAACAAACCAGATGAGCTAAATTCAATACCGAAGTCTTGGCTCATACTGTGTGTTTGTGGTGCCAAGTAATTCTTCAAAGAAGCTCCTGATGGAAGAAGGAATGCTATAAGATGATGAACCTGCAGTTATGACTTCTGCTGATGCCTCATCCTGCGGTCTCTGTAAGGTTTGCATTTCGCTCTTTTCACTGGAGTCTGCAGAGCGTCCAAGTTCAATCTCGGCAGTGTCCTCCTTGGATGTATCATCTTCCAAGTATGGGACGACATACTTCTTCATATCAGGTTTGGAAATCCCAAGGTGATTCCCTGATACTGTGACATATTTTACCCTCCCAGCATCATCCAGAGTTTTTAACCCAATCCAGTCCTCGATATAAAGCTGGGTCTGCAAGAATGATGCAATACAAGCTTTGCATTTTAATATACTTAATTATAATTTACATGAAAGAATTAAGAAGCACGAAGATACAAGGACAGCGTATGCTTTTATCCTCACTTTCGCAAAACTGCATGCACAAGTTGGGACTGCTTCAGTTTTGCAGTTTTGCAGGAAGAATTCAGAACATTTTTTCGATCAAATTAGAGTGAGAGACACACGGCCACACACACACACACACACAGAGGGAGCCTGTGTCTGGAGAATGGTTCAGAAAGGCTCAGAGATAGACAGCTAGGATAGAGGAGAAGACGAGAGATTGTTTGCCAGTGGCAGTATCAGCATGATTCTCTCCTCTTTGAGCTCAAAGAGGCAAGAGAGGGATGGTCATTGTAGCCATGCAGGAATGGGATAAGCAGTTTATTCTTGTGGTAAGGTCAAGAAGCTAGCAAAATGATAAGAGGTATGGACCAATAACAGCAGTTATACAGGTAGTCTGGAAGCTAGCCCATTTCTAGCTTAGCTGCTTTTTCCATTTTGCTTCTTGTTATCCCTTAGCTTATCATCATTCGAGTTAGAGTTTCAAGGGCTTGACATTAGTAAATGGTGTTTTCTTACATGACAGCAACACTGTCATTAATTTTAGCCCACAATAAGACCGATAGAAGATAATCCAAAGAAATTTCTTGAGCCTTAGGCTCAATACTGTATTTTGTTTTATTTTGTAATAAAATATATTGTTATTGTTATTTCATTGTTATTCTTATTTTTGCATTAAAAAGATGAGATGAAAATCTATCTTTACCCCAGAATTTTTTCCCCCAATTATAAATGTATAATTGTATAAAGTATGCGTTAGGGTCTATTAGAACAGGAGAAATACCTGCTGCGGGGCCAAGACTGGGTTGAAGGCCCCATCTGGATAATATCCAAACCAGGAAGTTTCCTTTGGTACCAAAACTGTATCATGCTCAAACTGTCACAGGCAAATACTACAAGTGTCACATGGAAAAACCCACTATCCTTCTACATAAAGTCAATGAAAGTAATTAAAAGGGCAAATGGAACAACAGAAATTACAGCATACCATGATGAGGACAAGATTTTGTAAACTACTGAACCTTGCCTTGTAAGTGGAATTTCTCTCACCAGGGATTTCATTGTTAAGCTTTGGCAGAAACCTACATTTTTCCAAATAACCAGCAATATTCTGTTTTTTTTCCCCAATAAAAAGAAATGATATATCAGCTACAGATATTCCAATTATATGAAGCTTATACCACCAAAAACATTTTCAATGTAGACAAGAAATGACAGTGTTCTTGTGTGAGTGCAATTTAACCCATCAGTTATGGCTTTATAATTCTTTTGATACATTATTTCCTGCCTGTCATCACAATTCAAAGCGATAAGCCAATTGGAAAGAAATGATTGATCAATCCCTGATATTGGCAAATGTCCAAGAAGATAATGACAGACAATACTTTTACATCACTCAGATGCATGCATGTACATATTACTCACGTTTGGTAACTTCAGATAGCCACTAGGAGCCAAGTGTTCCTGCAAATCATTATCAATAAGCGGAAGAAGAGAATTACAAAAATCAATTACAATGTTACCAGAGACCAAAAAGTGTGTGTGTGTGTGTCTGTGAGAGAGAGAGAGAGACAGAGAGAGATGCATGCCTGTATATAGTCAGAGTAGATTCCTGTTTTGATTAGGGAGTCAGCTATAATGCACATGATGCCAGACTGCAAAAGAACAACCAGTCAACTTATTGTCATGGGATTAAGTAAAAACAATAAAGTAATGGAAAATTCACGAAAATGCACATGAATCAGGTGAAGAATGAAGCAGAACATAACCCACGGACACATATAACCTTAGTCCAAAATGCTTGCTGTGTCTATTAACCTAGTACTGGAGTTTTATTGTGGATTATCTCTGGCATTTGCAAAGAAAGTACAAGGTATTAGTACAGATTCGGCACTATATGAGGCAAATTTCTTCCCTTAGAAAGGATTAGAACAATAGGAATGAGTAACTATCCGTGCAAAAAACTTAGCAAACTGAGGGATTACTATCAAAAACTTATCAAAGAAAGAGATCAATTACAAAACTTATCAGACAAGTGATATCACGGTTGAAGACTGTGATACAGCCAGAGGTTAAAAAACACTCAAGGCGAAACATACAGGATTCACCTTAAATTTGAATTTTCAACTTAGATGGATGTCTAATTAGACAAAATAAATGAATTCAAAGGGTGAGCAAGGGGGCAATGAATTTGGGTAAAGCGAAACTCTGGAAAGAAAGGTGATTTTCCAGGTTATGGAGTTAAATATGAAAGTGGATCAACATTCTTTTGCATCTTTGGTAGGGGCATCCACTCGAAGCCCCAAATCCAAGGAATACGAGATGAATCTTTTTGAGTACGGTTTGCCAAGGCATTAGATTCTCTAGGAATACTTTGGGGGTTTACACAGGCACCTTAGCATGAATGCAACAACTTGTATGTTAAAAGATTGCATTGCCAATATAATAACTACACCATGACTGGGTTCTTCAATGCTTGAACGGATTCTCTCAATTCGTGAATATGTTTAAACAACAACAGTGTCTTATCAGTGAATGATAGTCTAACACTATCATCACTCTGTATAGGCCTCTATTACCAAAATCAGATAATAGAAAATAGCATCCATCTCTTCCACTGAAGTGATAATTTTCTTGCAATAGATGCAGCAAGCAAGCAATGAGGTACAACACATGCATATCCGAAAATGAAGGTAGATGTGTCTCCAAGTATTCCTCGATCAGCTCGTCTAGGAAGAGGAGCTGCTCTAATTCAATGAAGAAGCATGGTTGGATTCTGCTTGTTCGTGGGGATCTAAGACTAAGTAAGATAAGCAATCAATATAGAAAAAGCAAGACTTCAGAGTTAAAATTGAAGGCTTCGATCAATAAAGAGTAGTGTACAATTTATAATATGCTTTTGACAACTATCAATCTCTGTGTTCAGTATGCTGAATGGTGTCACATCGAGAGCTAATTATAACAAGTAGCAATCAGATATATATTCACTACAACAATCTGCTATAATCCAAATTACATTTGCCACAACGATGCAGCACAAAATAGAATCACATTTGCAAAAAATGAAACTGAAGCCTATTGGATCAGCAATGAGCAAGCTATGGGGTCACTTACACCACAAAGAGGGACTGAAGCTATGCCGGCATGAGGCCCTCCCAACGAGACAAAGTTCTTGACCTATTACATTAGTCAAAAAATTAATGATAACACAAACTTAATTAGTGCATGAAAATACAGCATACAAACTTATACTGTAGCAGTATTTAGAGAGGATAAGTAGCAGAAACATAATTAGCAATGACTAGCCCCTAAACTAATTTCCACACGATAAAGCACATAACACCTGATATGAAAATTTTCATGCCTTTTACAAGTACAAGAATAGTCATGGGGCACTGATCTGGCATGCATTGACTTATTCAGTCAGATTTGGTAATCTTCAAAATTCGAATAATAACTCTATGAATCAAAGTTACCATCGATGAAGAGGAGAAGATCTAGAGATATTTATTCCCAAGATCAAATTCCATAGGAGTACAAGAACGATGATTCTGCAAATAATTAAGCACTCGTGTAGATCTACAACATTCAACCTTACTTTTCTGAAATATGCTAATTAAACACGTGTATTTGGAAGAAATGAAACAGTAAGGGGAAATGAAAGACCAAATTTGCCGGCATAGTGTTCTTACAGGTGGTCCACCATCACAGTATTCTACCACAGCTCGGCCTATTAAGTTCCCCTGTAGAATAAAAGTACAAAAATATAAATAAAAACTTCAAACCGTAAAACCAGTAATGAAGGTAGAAAAATGAATGATAACTTCTTGAAATAGGCAGTAAGTCACAGAGGGGAGTGATTGAACACAAGCTAAAACAATCAACAAAATATAAATCTTTCCTTATATTTATTAATAGCACAAAGTGATAGCCCCCACATATATTGTGCACCTGCTTTTCCCGGAAAATCACGAATAAACCTATTTGGCACTAAAATGAGCCTAAAAACCAATTGCCAATTGCTACAAAAACTTGTCTTGATTTCGGGTTTTCCTACAACATCCTTCACCAGGATTGCGAACCTACTTCTGCTATTACAAAATAATGATGTATACATGGCAGGAACTTTTGAGAAACCCACTGTATTTTTGGCATTGGTTTAAATTTCATATGAACTTTGCATAGCATTGACTTTAGCAAATCGTCCAATAGAATAGTATCCTGCTACAATTTAGGCTGGTACAATGACATCAAAATCTGTATGACATACTCAAACGAAGGGTGAATCTTGCTACTGAAATATAATTCATGAAAGCAATTTAATATGATTGCTACATATGCAACAAAAATAATTCCAATACTGTTTGAACCAAAATCATCTATCCATGAAAAGTAGGACATAATTCCTTAAGAAAAATAGACCATGACTCACAAGGTTTCTTATGCAAAGAGTAAAACAAAGCATTTGTAAATTGTCTGCCACATAAAAATTTCATTGTTTACTTTAAAAAGGTGCCTTATTCTAATTATACCTGGGATAGACCAACGATATTGTAACCATTTTGGAGGTCTTTCATTTGCTTCACCTATAAATAAGCGTTGAAGCATACAGGTTGATATCAGATAATCAATTCACCAATCAAACCAAACAAACCGGAAAGTATTACCTTATCACAAACTACTTCAGTCTGCACAAAGAAAAGGCAAAGTTTAGGATGGCATTACATCGAGTATTTTAAGCATTAGAAGTGACTGTTTAGTATCAACGCCCCATCAATTACCTGTTCTTCTAAGGGCATAAACCAGGAGTCCCAAGCCCCATCTCCAATTTCTCTACAAATTAAAAACACAATGCAGAACTATCATCTTGGTAAAGGAAATTGCTCAAGCTCAACATAACTGGAAAATTCAAAAGGGGAATGGCGAAAAACATATTAGCAGCATTGCCTAACAGGAACTATTTGAACAAGTTTTAAGCTACGCGGAGACAACATTGTTTGCCAATAAAAAGCAAATAGAACACCTAAGACCACACAAATTTTCTTGATGCATTTTTAATACATTATATATCTAGGTAAGATTTTTTCACCATCTGCCAGAGAGTTCTACCAGTCAAATTATCATCACTATTAGGCTGCTTAGACTTGGTCCTTCCCATTGCCTAATACTTCTCCATTGCTTTTCCTCTTTTGTAATTACCTCATGATCTTGATCGTGCATGCAGTCTGACTTATGTCATCACATCGCCAATATATGTATCATCTTTTAAGCTACAAATTGCATTGACTTCAGAACTAAGTACTGAAAAGATTCCAATCACCAAAAGCCTAATAAATTTCACGATAGATAACCAAGTAAAACCCTGAACATAAACTAAGTAATCCCTAAGTAAATACATCTTTATTACTTCCAATGAAATAAAAGCTGGACGAAATTTGTTAGCGAAATATTAACTTGACATACATGCAATATCCAGTAGAATTGGACCACTCCGTCAGCTCCTCTGTGAAGTGTTTCATTCCTCTGTTTGAGCACTGATCTCCAATTCCTATCATCACAAGCATTATTCATAAGCTTACAAAATTTTCAAACCCAAGAAAAATCAAAATTTTACACAACGAAGAAGGGGAGGAAAATAATAAAAAAAATAATAATAAGAACTGCAGAAGCATGTAGTTAGTACCATGAAGTACTACAAATGGAAGAGAAGAAGACAGTCGAATCAAATATACGGCAATAGTTATGGAGATGTACAAGACAACTGAAGCTAAATACCGGGCCATAAAATTTTCCAACAGCAAACCGAAAAACTTTTTCGATAAAGATATGATTTTTACTCTTTTTTTGGGGTTCCAAAAACTTTTGGCGAAATCCTGGAAAAGGATTAGGTGGGGTTTTGGCAGAGGCTGGCGGAGATGAGGTGGGACAAGGATACCGGAGAGCTTGGGTAAGTCACCGGAGTGTTGTGAGTGTGGGGGATGTTTGGAAGTCTGGAAGATGAACAACAGCGATTATTGCTTTCTTCTACAACTAATTTTGAAGGATGATTTTTGTCAGCAGCTAGCTAGACAAATACGCCCCCAAGGTCAGCTCGAATGGTCCGCTCCCCTCTTTGGGGTATGGTAGACCTTCCTGGGCAACCAGGGTTCGAGCCCCTTGTCACCGTGCTCGAGTGGAGTGGGGCCTCTTCTCCGGATTGAAGTGGAATTAGTCGGAGCCTTGTAAGAATTGACTCGGATATCTACTTTGTCAGAGAAGAAAAAAAAAAAAAGCTAGACAAAAACGACACTAGAATGCAAGAAAATCTAGGTAGAGTATTAATAGTCTTCGTGTGATTGGTCGTTGTCCCCTCACTTTTTTCTTCACTCTTCCCATGGTTTTTTTATTGCTTTTTTATTTGGAAAAGAAAAAAGAAAATGAAAGGTGAAGTGTGTTGCAAGACTTTTTTTTCTTTTTAATTTGTATCAAGGAAGATGTGGAATTTAATAAGCGGACAGAAGGAAAAAGGGAAGGGGAGAAACGTATTGAGAGACTCATAATTCATCAAGGCAGTGTTATTATGATTATAATTCCAAATCTAGACACGTCATTTCAAAGGAAAAAAAGAAAATGTTTAAGCATGCGTATTATTATGAACCGTAAATAAATGAGTTCAGATAAAATATTATATATTTTTTCACCAATTAATAAAAAATATTTTTTTTAACCAATTACTCATGGTATGATTTGTTGGTATTAATGATTATTTAATTTTTTTAAAGTACTACTATGATATGTTCTGTGATTTGATGTGTGTGAAATATAAAAGTGATTAAAAATATTAAAAATATGATTAAAAACGTCTTTATGATGTAATCATTTTTTTAAAAATTGATCAATCTAAAAAATTTTTAGACTTTTGATCCATGAAATAACTCAATAATTGTTTGAGATATTCTTTCATAATTTAAAACGTCAAGGGTTTGAATTTTGTCAAATAATAAAATAATAAAGCTTAATGCGCTGATCTATTTTATCATCCATAGTTTTTTTTTTCATTTCATTTTTCAAAATCATTTTGATATGATATCCATGGTTGGATCTTTGAAGATCCTACTAGTACGTTATTCTTGTAATACATGCCAATCGTATCTATTAAAAAGTAAAAACTTCAATATTTAAGTACATATTCAAATTATCAAAAAAAAAAGCATATATTCAAAAAAAATAAAAATAAAAACAAAAAATGGGCACTACAATGATTTGGCTATAGGTAGGGGTGGCAAACGGGTCGGGTTCGGGTTGGCGGGTCGGGTTGAGGCTTAAGTATAACAAAGAACCTGCTCACCCGAACCCGACCCGCCAACCCGAAACGGGTCAGGGTACCTGACACGAACCCGAAAATTTCGGGTTGGCGGGGTCGACCCGAAATGACCCGAAACTTAATTTTAATTTATTAATTTATCACTGTAATTTCTAATAAAATCAATTTTTTCACAAAATTAATTACATCATCAAGTAATAAAAATTTAAATAAATAATTTCAAACCAAATCTAAAATAAATTAAACACCATAAAAGTGTTTTATCCCAAACCAAATATAATTTAAATTAAAACAACATAAAAGTAAAAAATAACATCATATATTATTTGTCCAAATATAATAATTTTAACTTCACACAAGTTAAATAAATTCATTTAGGATTAAGTAATTAATGCCTTTGGAAAAAAAGAATGATTTAGTTTAGTTAGATAAAATAATTTTTATGTTTATTAAATTAGTTTTAATTTGTAAACGGGTCACATCGGGTCATATCAGGTCACCACAGGTTGACCCGAAATTGACCTGTTTTCTTTTCGGGTTCATCGGGTTCGACCCGATTCTGACCCGAACTCCCAAAACCTCAACCCAAACCCATTAATTTCGTGTTACGTTCGTGTCGTGTTTTCGGGTCGTGTCAGGAATTGCCACCCCTAGCTATAGGTCTCCCAGCGGGACAAAGCGCCAAAACTGTTGGATAAAGCTCCAAGCTTTTGCTAATGACCTCAGGACCTATTGGATCCAATTGGGAAATTGTGTCCCCAAATTCATATTCCTTATCCTCAATAATCTTCCCATTTTGGGTTTCTTGGAAGTCACTTGGTCTAAAGTCCTATCCTTTACTTCTTCTGTTCCTCGCCTTTATGAAATTAACTCTATTGATCTACTACCCCTTTACAGTTCATAGTCTCCCACGCAACAAAAATTTGTTTCTTCTGAGGTGTCAACTGTCTACAACTGCACACGAGAACTGAAGAAGCAGCAGATAATCATAGACGAACGAGAGGCAATTCCAGGTTTGTCTTCAATTTTTCTTTTAAACTCTGTTCACTCTCATCAGCTCAAACTGTTAGATTAAGCTGTTGTATGTATACCCTTTTGAAGAAAGTTTATCTTTTACGTAATGTAGCCTTTTTTCTTGATCAAATGTATCAGTATAATGCAGTTTATTGTTGCACGGGAGTTTCAAAACAAGAAAAAAGAACAACAAAGAAATTATCTTTTAACATAGTACAGTCTTTAAAGATTTTCGTTAGAAATAACATTAACTCTAAGATTTGATTGTTAAAGGTGTGAATTTTATTTGGCAGAAGTTAATTCTAGTTGTCAAGTCAAATCTTGTATCATATGGGCCTGTATTTGACAATGCTGTTATATTTAAAATCTGGGGTGGGAGATAAAAATTTGGTTTAAAATTGTATGTAACTTGTGAACATCGAATAAAACACTTGAGCACGTTTGTCTTTTGACTGTGTGAAAGTAATTGGAGGGAGATTGGCTTGGATTAGCTTGTTGGATAAGAAAATAAGGAAGAAAGTCATTACTCATCTAAGTCTTTGTTTAATCTTGGTTCAGTGGAATTGTTAAAACTGTTGGCAGTAGTGGACCAAGTATGACCAGACCATCACACCTTTTTTATTTGTGAATGACAAGAATTTGGAAAAAAAAAATAATCAACAACATAAAACATTTGTTTAAAAGTACCATGAGATATTCACCGACTGATGCAAAGTCGGTACCCGTGAAAATTTAGAAAGCATAGCACAGAAAAAGAAAAAAAAATGCTTCCTGTCATCAAAGAGCTTCACAAAGGCAAAAGTTCATTGAGTGTCAAATCTGACATCAGAAAATTGAAATTTAAGTGCTGAAATATGTCATATGAATCTCTCTGGATTAAACGAAGTGCTTATTAGATTGTTGGATTATGGACTTTTAGTTGTAAATGGTGGCAAATTGATCTGTAGGATCAACCTCCGGAAGTTTTGCTGCATACTAGGTTGCTTGTTTAATAAAGGTCCAAAGGGCTACTTCGTGGTCCCTGAAAGCAATATAACAAAAAACTAGTAAAGATTGCCTGACATATCAATTTTGGAATAGCATCTTCTGTTTCCCTGAATGGAAATGCTTTAGCACATGCCAACCATATGTGCAGGATGTATTAACTAATTGCTGTGGCGAGGCTATGTATGATTAAAGCACTACACATTCAATGTTATGGGATTCAAGGATTTTGTGTTAACCAAGTAGTTGTTTGATACAATAGTCTTGTTTTTTTGTGGCGCTTATCTGTATCTCTTGCATTACTTGCCATAGAAGCTGAAGTCACTTTTTTTGAATATGTTGACAATTATATCTGGAATGAATGAGTTAGTGGGAACCTATTCTTTGAATTTCTTTTCTCACTAACTTTAGCCTTTATTATTTAAACCTTTCTTTGTTTCAGCAGTTGCTATCACAACTGTACATCCTTCTCTCAACCATTAACTTTTCCTTAGAAAGAGAAAGAACAGGTATAGAAAGAAGAAATATTTTTATTTTCCAGACAGATATAGATTCAGCATTCATTTAAAGCAAACATAGATATTCTTTTTTTATGTTAAATTGACACAATATGTTGAGTCATAAGTTTGAGCAGAGCTAAAGAACCTATATGAGAAAAATCCAACTTTTTATGGAGGGATAAATCAACATTCTTCCCATTGTTAATCACAATTGTTCCTGTTTGAGACTATATATATATGCACACAAACAATAGTAGGTATCAAGTATCAGGTTTTGAGGGTATTAGTAATCCTTCATCAATACGAAATCCTAACTGATTACCCATCGGTTGTTTAATCAGATTAACCATTGGGTCAAGTCCCCACATCACTTGAGTAAGAAAAAGTAACATGTGCACAAAAAAAAGAATAAAAAATTTGTATTATATTTTTGTTTGTGTGCACATCCGTACGAGTAATGTGCACATACCTGATTTTAATGCACACATAAATGTTAGCATGTGTACAACTATTTGTTGGACAAATTACAGTCCCAAATGGTTAGGCTACTGATTCCAGATTGATTATACTTTTGTATTCCTGAGCAGATTGCAGGTTCATGCTAGAATTGGTTGTGTTCCTAATAGTGATACAATTGCTTTCCTTCTTGCTGGAATGTGTAATGATTTATACCATAATACAGGACTTTTGGAACAGATATGGACCAGAATAGTGTGGAACTGAAGGTTACAGATATTTTTGAACTTTTAAAGACAAGAAAAGTTGTTCTTTCGGGGAAATCAGGGACTGGGAAAACATGGATGGCAAGAAAAGTTGGTCTCCTTGCTGTAAAAAACCAAGATGTTCACTCTACCCTTTGGATTTCTTTGAGTGTTGAGCATGACTAGATGGCTCTTTATGAGCATATTGCTAATCAGCTATCTGTTTTTTCCACTCATATAGAGCTGGAAGATGAGGATATTAACAAGGTAGAGGATATTGTTGGTAAAAAGGAAACCTTGGATGAGTTGAAGGAAAAGGTACGTATGAGACTTTCAGCTGATGGTGCTCCTCAAAAGACTCTTGTAATTTTGGATGACGAAGGAAGCAAAATGAAAGAAGGGGATGGAGACTTAAACAAGGTCCTTCAGTTTATCCAGCAGCACTTGAAAACCATTGCAAATGGAGATGGAGAGCAGAAACTTAAGGTGCTGATAACTTCTACTAACAAAGATGTCAGGCACCAATCTGAGGGAGATAAGAAAGCGTTTGAGATGATGCCTCTGACTCCAGAAATGTCTATTTCTTGGTTAAAGAAAGGAGCTGCGGCAAAAGTATTTGAAATTTCTGGTGCAGAAACTTTGGTTAAAAAATTCATGAATAAAACAGGTTTTACACCTGGTAAAGTAGCCTTGCTGGCAAAACTATTAAGTTACCATCAACAAGATTCCCAAGTGCAGGATCTGGAACATGCTTTGGAAGAAGCATCTGGTGGTGATAATTACATTTACACCCAGTTGCTCTCAAGTGGATATGAAAAGGTGCCAGATGGTGTTTTAGTTGACTTTTCTTGGCAGGGCAGCCATTTTTTTGGGGACCGTGGATCGGTTCACTATGGTGAGTTGATAGCATACTGGATACTGGAAGGATATCTTGGTGTTGTTGATAGTCTTGAGGAGGCTTATAAGGAGGGACACCGTGTTATGATGCAGCTTATGGACTGTCAAATGCTGAAATAAGTGAACGATAACATCCTCCTCATGGTGAGAGGAACAGTAAATGTTAATGCTTATCATCGTCAAGGATATGGCGGAACAGCTAATTTGGGGTTGGCTAATGTGCTTGTGCATAATAATGATTGGCATGGTATTGGAAATGTCACAGAGATAGACAGTATGATCAGAACACTTGGCAGTCATAGAAAGGTGCAGCAATTAATAACACTTTTACTAGATGAGACCTGTCTCAGCAGGGAAGACCCGAATAACCTCTTAGATTCCAATAGGGATCTGCAAATTCTAGGTCTTTTTAGTCTCAGAATAGTATCATTGCCTCAATCCTTTTCCTACTTGAAAAAACTGAATGTCCTTATGCTCAGGGACTGTGAGTTCTTAGAAGAGATTGATGACATTAGAGAATTATTGACATTAACTGTACTTGAAGTATCTGGTTCTTGCTTGATAAAAAGTATACCGGAAAACTTTTTTCAACAACTGACCCGACTTTGTAGCCTCCACTTCTCTGATCTTCAGATTGAAGTCTTGCCTAAATCTTTTTATGACCTTACAAAACTCCGTTGGTTCATTCTGAAAGGATGTTCTCATTTAACAAAGTTGCAGAGTTTGAGAAAGTGTGAAGAACTTATGGTGGTTGATCTTTCAGGTGCTGCCCTCTTGCCAGTTTTTCCTGAAAAGAACTTGAGACATTTGCCGAAGCTTAAAACATTAAACCTTTCAAAAACCACTATCAAATATTTACCTATTTTTCATGAGACTGGGGAGCTTACTCATCTCTCAGTGAGTGGTTGTCGCAACTTGAAGAGACTTCCCAGCATTCAGTCTCTAACCAATCTGCAAGTTCTTGATCTTTCATGGTCAGCCATAAAGGAGTTCCAAGACAAGTCACTACACAATAATAGCAATCTCAAGGTTCTTGACTTATCTGGTATTGGCATTCCTTCAGATTTGTTACCTTCTAATATCAGTAAACCTTGTGAGTTTTATTTGAGAAGCTGTTCAAAGATAGAATATATAAACATTGCTGAATCTCCCAAAGATCTAGAGGTGCTTGACATTTCGGGTGCCTCTAATCTTGTCAAAATTGAAGAAAAGTTCTTTGAATCTTTAGTAAATGTTCGAGTTCTCAACTTGTCGGAGACAAAAGTCAAAGATCTGCCAGCCCTTGCTGCTCTCCAGAACCTTCGTCGGCTGTTACTTTCTGGTTGTTTGCATCTAGAGAAGCTGCCAAGCTTGACTTCAAGCAAACTGGAAGAAATTGATCTATCTGACTGCAAGGCTTTGACCATGATAGAAGATGAATTTTTTAAGCATCTACATCGCCTTAGGCGGCTTGTCCTCTCCAAATCTAAGATTACACGGCTTCCAGATCTCAACTCCTTATTAAACCTTGAGGAGTTAAATTTGAGTGGTGTTAAATCATTCAAGAAAGTTGATTTCATTGAGCATATGAGTAAACTTCAGGATCTCAACCTATCGGAGACCTTGCTTGAACAGCTACCCACCTTATCAAGTCTCAAAAGCCTTAAACATCTGTCTTTAAGGGGCTGTGGACATCTGGAGTCTATTCCACCCTTAGAAGCACTTCACAGGCTTGAGACTCTTGATCTTTCTCAAACAGCAGTAAGGCATCTGCCATCCTTGGGAAATTTGAGCAACCTTCATATTCTCTTGCTTAGTGACTGTTCAAACTTGGAAGACTTTAAAAAGAACAAGATGCTTGACATGTCTGGAGCGGAAAATCTTCCTTGTGGAATCTCAAGATTGACTCAGCTGGAACATATTGCTTTACCTAGTACAAAGAAAAATAATGAGGCAGCTGAAAGCAACAAGGTGATTAGCTGGCAGCAAAATCCGGGTGAATCACATTGGTTCTTATCCATTGTGGATGGAATTGAACCAAATATTGGCAGATCTTTAATGTTTCGTGATGGTTCACTATTTCTTGAATTTCTGCAGAGCAATCCTTCTCTATTGGACGCAAACTCAAATCATTTCCATCTCTCTATTCATCCTATTGAGGTGCACGATGGAGCAGGAGACTTGCTCTTCAAAAAAGATGAATTGATTTTCAGAGATGTCTATCTGTTATCTAGGCATTACTCTAGATCACAAGGGCGATTAATGGAGATTCATCACCTCAACACTTTTCCCAAGGGTGCCGAGGCTGTTCTTGGTAATGCTGAGTATGTATTCTTGTTTGATAATTTGTTTTTGAAATCATTATCTGATCTGGGTGCTAGAAACATCAAGATGATGAAAGGCTGTTGGATTGAGGGATGTCAAAATATGGGGTCTGTAATCGGGATGGATGACTCAGTGGAGAGTTCTGAACTGGGGAATGCACTTGAAATTTTATGGATTTCAAATGCTTTCAGTTTAAGGAGAGTATACAGCATGGTTCAAAGTCGCGGTCGCGGCCTAGACCGTTCCACATCGGTCTTTGCATATCGGTCACGGTCTCAGCAAGACGCGATTTTTGAAATATTTAATATTCTAAAAATTGTAAAAAAATGATAAACAAAATAATTAAAAAATTAGTAAAAATAATAAAAATTCGAGTTGACTCGGGATGACTCGGAGTGATTCGGCCGTTTCAACCCTTCACGGTGACATCTTGGTGAGTTGAGTATCTCGGTATCGTTTCGTCACGGTATCGTATCGGCGAAGGCCGAGACGGTGATGACTCGGCCGAGTCTTCGAACCATGGTATACAGTGAGAACCTGCAGAATCTGAAGTGCTTGTATCTAGATTGTTGCCCAAAGCTCTCAAGGGTTTTCTCTTCATCCCACTTGCTGCAAAAGCTTGAAATTCTTCATGTCAAATTTTATGAGAATCTGGAGACTCTGTTTAAAGATGATGTAGAAGAGCAAAAACTGCCTAATTTGCGAACATTGCGTTTATGGGAACTACCAGCACTGAAATGCATTGGGTGCATAATGCCGTCTCTACAGCTTTTAGAAGTAGGCGAGTGTCCCATGCTTGGACATGTATTAACTTCAGGTCTTGTGCCAGAAAAACTCGAGGTCCTTAAAGTCAAAAATTGTCATGCATTGGACAAAATTCTTGAAGGAGTCGCATCAGACTACAACAAATTGCCTCAGTTAGGTGAAGTTCACCTACAGGGATTACCAAAGCTTACAAGCATCGGGATTGAAGCACCCTTGTTGAGATCTTTAGAAGTTCGGGATTGTTCCTTGCTTATACATGTTATTTCTTCAACCCATAAGCCAGAAAACCTGGAGGTCCTCAAAGTCAGATTCTGTGACAACTTGGAAACTTTGTTTGCAGGCACATCTGAGGATTGCGGATTGCCAAGCTTAGATACAGTTCAGCTGTGGGGTTTACCCAAGCTGGTTAGCATTGGCACTACATTGCCACCTCTGCGGAAGTCCATTATCAGGGACTGCCCCAAACTAACTATTCCTATGTCATGATTGACCAGATCTTTGAATGCACTTCAGGATCTATATGCCATGATTTCCTTGAAGAGATGTTGATGCACTGTCTAGGAAGTGCTAAAGGATATGTCAACTGGACTGGGAACGGTTGAGGGATGTATTCTTAGCATGTAGAAATTATTCGGTCTGAATTTCACTGTTAATAGCTTAGAATGAGACAAATTTCCATTGTACATTTTTGGGATAATATTATCTGGCCTACATCTTGAAAGACATTGTCATTTTTCATGCAAGTGGATTGATTTTGTAGCTATCCTTCTCATTGCTTGGTTTGATGATAAATACCTTACCAGACCATTTCCCTAGCAGGTTACGGATATGACATGGTTTATCTTGAAGGTTATCAGTTAAAAGTGGTTAGAATATTTACCTTACCAGGAAGAGTAAATAATCTCTTGATTAAAAGCACCAAGCCCCTTAACATTTGCTGTGATTTGCACTTTCCGCAAAGTATATATTCGTTGCTGAATGTTTTTCCTATTCCGTGTGCATGCTGGACATATGGAAGAGAACCTCAATAGATAGAATCCATTTCCTCCTTTTAGTTGTTCTCATTCCCCTTCTGATCTTTCTTCTCTCCTCTCACCACCAGTCTTCACTCCTGTCACTGGCTCCCCTGCTCTCTGCTTCCGCTCCTTCCCCTGATTTAACCTTGTTCCCATACCTAAATCTGCCGCCCCCGCCCCTTCCATGCAGAAAAACAACTACTTTTGTTTTGGACACAAGGGCAATTGTCACAGCGCATGGTGTCATTTCTTAACGGTTTCTCTCTTACTGCTCTCTAGTAATACAGTTACAGGAATCAAGACATAAAACACAGCCTGCTGCATTGATTGCACTAATTTTAGCTCCAGAACCTTAAGATCTATCTATCATCAGACCAAGATTAGTACAGCTGCTGAACCAATTTAAAATCAACAGTACAAGGAATGATTATGAAAAAAATTGATGTCAAGCTTTCAAACTCTGCACACAATGATGTGGCACAGCTATTTGGCCGACAAAATGAACGCCGTTCAAAGAAAAGACAGCAACAAGACTATGTCATCTCTTTAAACGAATTAAGACAACAGCAATACGCGGAAATCAAGGAGTCCAAAAATATGAGCTATTTTTCTTCTAACTAGGAATTCAAAACTTTATTTGATGTTGAAAAATGAACCCCATGAAGCTGCTTTTGTATATGCTTTAATTGTTGTATCCTGGTTTTGAAGTGCTGCAATCTCTTCATCTATCTGATCATCTGCTTTTCTAATGATAAGTCTGTTTAAAGCAATAAATATATCCTTTACGATCTCTTCATCTGCTGCACCAACTTTTCCTTCATTCTCCTCTCCGTAGGAAATTGCAAGTGCAGACTCCTTTTCCATGTAATGCATAATCTGAGTGACACCAAATATTGCAAATCAAGAATGACGAAGTCATGAAACCGTAGACAAGTCTTGAAGGTCAGAAGTTTTTTTTTTTTTTTTAATTTTAAGTATGATATATGATATACGTAGCTCAGAGATCACGCAATGAACATGAGAAACAAAATGATCCTTGCAATAGTAAGTAGGATCATCAAGGGCTCTTCTTTTTTCACGAGCATTGCTGTAGAACTCACCATCACTATCTTCATCAGATAAGTCTTTGATTGGGAGTACGGGTGAGTGGATAACGATGGCAGTCATGTTTGATGATTTCAGGTAAAGGATAACATTCCAGATGAAGACCAAATCTACAATCCAAGCACTGGAAGAAATGCTTCTTGCATGGCGCAACTGTTGCACCTTAAATTACCAAGGTTGGTCTCCAACAAAGCAAGAGGATGCTGCTGAATTTTAGACCCATCATATGTGGCTTTGTAGAAGCACATTGAGGATCTAAGTAGAAATCACATTTGGAGGGTACGCAAGTGAAAATGCAATTCGTCTTTTTGCATCCACGGCATTTCAAACGACTGTTCAGGTCCAAGTTATCGACGAGTTTAACATGGCGGAGTGGGCCACAAGGGTGTGCGATCTCAGGAAGCAATTCTATGCAGGATTTGCCCAGTAAAATACCAGATTCTGTGCAAACGAAAATGGTATGTTTGATGGGTGAGTTGCACCCTGAGCAATTGCTATTGATTTGCTTTGTGACACTGCATTGGGTCAGCGGGTGGGACAGGCAGAGGGGTTGCTCCTGGAGCTCTCGATGAGATTTGGAATCTGAGAAGATGGGCATCAAGAAGGCACATTGTAGGCCTAGAACAAAGTTGCACTGCTGACATATGTAGAATGCTTCACGGAAATTCGGCCCAGAGAAAGCACTGCATGATGGCGTTTTTACTGGGAATTTGGAGCTGGGGAAAAGGGCTAGAGGGTGTTCAAAGTGAAACTCATATCTGATTTCTAATGGCAGAGAGCACTCTTCATGCGATATGTTTCTGCAATGAATCAAGACAGACAGTCCCATAGATGTGACTATGGCAAAAAGAGCAGCGAAAATCGACCACAAATGGTGCTTCAAATATGAATAGGGGATGCCGGTGGTTGTTTTCAGGGGCATGAACTTCCAATTTCTTGGTAGGCTTCAAGTTAATGCAAAGAAGGTCTATGCTGAACTTACAGATTGCACAATGGTACACAAAATTTGAACCATTGGATTCACATAAATGGCACTGGAACTTCTGAGGAGCACCGGATTCCACTTCGTAAAGCGAAAGAGGATCCTCAGAGTGACAGGAATGGTTCCACTCTTGAGGCAATTGAAATTGAGCACAAATTTCATGAAGGAAAAACCCACTCTCTTTACAACCGTATATAGCATCTCTTTCATCTTCTTTTTGGTAAAATGAGACTGCCTCTACTTCGAAAGGCTTTCTGTGGCAGAAATGACGCGAGCAAGAATTCCATGGTCCTATACTTGAATCTTTATACATCTCCATTCGATAATGATGCTTGAGATGGGCTACAAATTCCATTACTTCTCCTCGGATGATTTTAGTCTGGGGAAAAAAATGAAGAAAAATCAGTATACTGATCTGGGTATTTATGATATCAGTTATGGGCTATACAGCTTTTTCAAGTCTTCAAGTACTGTTTGGATTATGCATTTGGTCCAATGGCGTCAAGAAACAATCTCTGTCGAGTGGCTCAATTTGAACGTAAGTTACAGTTACATACGCGTAATGGCTAACTTTCTTGGTTCTGTCCCTTTCCCATGAGGTTCATTAGACAGGCTTTGATCAACTACATTGTGACTCACAATTTGTGAGGGTTTTCGGTTGTTTCCTTCTTTGGCTGCCGGTGACATTTCCCCCGAAAACAGCCTGGATTAGCTGCTACCCAGTTGCTCGTACTGATGGTTTACTAATAAGTTCAACTGTATATAGTGTCAATCAACTGGTAGTAGAAAACTGCATACTTGAACAAGCAAGACCATTATAACTTAATAAGAGAAATTTTTTACCATTGTGGATGGAATGAACCGATTTCCGAGTTCCTTCAGTTCTTCTATCTTGGTACGTAGAGCAGCCATCTCTTCTTCTATCTCGCAACAACTCCTCTTGTTCATAATTCATTACAGTTATAACATTTTTCTTGATCACTTCCTCTTAAGCAGCAACTTTTTCACTGGTTTCGTTAGTTGGAAAATCAGCAGAGGGAGTTTGTCCACTATCGTCTGGACAGGTAACATCACCTATAAAATGGTTTACTGGTCTGCCCAATCCTGTCTTGCCATCTTCATTTGCTGCACCAGAAGAATCTCTCCAAGCCATGCAAGATATGAGAATGAAAAAACTGCAAAATGAAACTTTTGTCCTATAGAAACAAGGAGATCCAAGGGACAGAAAGGCGAACAATGGTGGCTGCATATCTAATATTCAAGTCCAACAGCCAACATCCGCAGAGCCTGAGGTGGGCACGAACTCGGTCAAGCACTTAGTTGATGAGAAAATCTGTTAAACAATCTTGCAAGTCTTGCACAGCCCCAAGCTATTTCGCATAGTTCCCTTTGTCATTCCCTCTGTTTAATGTGCAACACGTCCAATAGCTGAACTAAGTGCAACTTCTTCCCAACTTAAAATTGAAACAATAATTAGATTGAACAAAAAGTAATGGTTTTTTTTTTCTTTCTAACAAAGATGAGTTACTTTAAGCACTAAGACGGAAGTGACTACAGTTCCTTGCCACTTGCTATTTTACACTCAAACAAATTGATTCAGATGATATGGTAACTAGTACAGTTAGATTTTATACAATTACCACAAACAACAAGGCCCAAGATGAAACCAATAAATGGGAAGGTGAAGAAAAATACAAGTCAAAGAGCCTCCTTTGTTAGCCTCACTGGCTTTTCCTTCAAAAATGCTACATCACTGTTTGTAACCGTCAGTAGATGATGATCTAGCTCCTCTTCTTCAACATCTGCTGAAACTGATGATCCTACAGAATCTGTCCCATCATCTGCAGAGAATAAAAGAGATAAAAAGTACTGTTAATTGCATAAGAAAAATGATTGGAGTATGGAAAGCATAGTAGAATCATTTTTAATGTTTTCCCCATATGTTTACTTAATAAAGGACATCATTTCTTCTATTTTGATGCTTTAGGTTAAACTTAATCATAGATGTTGCTATGTTCATATATATAATAGATGCACAAGGCAGTTGTTTGGCTCAAGAATTGAGGTTTGAACAGACTTGGATTCATATTTGCTCATTATTTTCTTAAGACAAGCTTCATCCAATCTTTAGGCTTGTTAAGTAATAAAGCTGAAAATGAAGCCGCCAAAAGCTTGGGCCACCAAATTCATGAGCTTACTTGTATCAAAAGAAGCCCTCATCATTTTCAAATTAAGACTCCTATATAGCATCAATTATTGTGCGAGACTCAATGCTGGACATACAAACCAATTGCGTCGATAGGAAGAACCATGAAATAGTTGGGAAAAAAGGGAAAATAAACACTATGGACAGTTTCCATGCAAGAATATTAAAGTTCAATAATTTAAACTTCTGCACTGCTGACTGCTACAGGTGGGTATTTACTATGACCAACTGACAAACTCTTGAAAGCAAACTTCTTTCTAAACTTGATCCGATGAAGAAGACATGCTAGACCACACTATAAAAAAGGTCAAATTATTAATTTGAAATTTGAAGTAAAAAACACTCCTTTAAAGTGTGCAGGTTCTTTTAGGACTTCATCATTTGAATCAAGATAATACAGGGGATCATTTCATCCTTCTTTCACCAGAAACAGAAAACCAAACACCAATAGAACTTGCCTGAATATGCTTGATGATCAGGGAGTCTTACTGCTTGAATCTGAATGTTCTCTGGTAGCAGACAATTGAAGAAAGAACCTGAAATTTTAAGGAAGAATACTTGTGAGGCTCAGATAACAATCTAAAATGTAGACCACCAAAAATCAGTCATCTTGCTAAAGCCTGAAAGCATCAGTATGTAGAACTGGATTCTATTCAAATACCACTGGTATAGAAGAACCCCAACATTCAAAGAAAAGCATTGAAAAATATCACCACCAATCGGTGCTGAAGCCCAGTGGCAAGAGATCTCATTCTACTTTTCTAGATGTAATAATGTACTGTTCATTCTCTGTAGGGTGCAGACATATCCAAAGAGATTTATTCCATTGTTTGTCTTTCTGCTGCCATAATCCCATGTACAACATGAGAAAAACCATTGGCTAAAAAGCAAACTAGAGAATCCTGACTCCAGAATCTCTCCTTTCTGTGATGATTCATTCACAGAAAAAACAACAGGAAGAAAATAAACAGCTTATTCTACTATATTTCACACGAAAGGTACACCTGAGTAATGAGAACAAGATCAAATGTTGAACTAAATAATTTATACCAAGTAATTGTATCTAGCTGACGTACATATGAAGTGTGCTTCCTAAACAAAAGTCAGATTGTGAAACCATTTTTTTCCCCAAAAAAAGGATGATTGAGGTATCTCAGTTAATTGACTAATAAATAAAATCACAGATTATAACAAAATTAACAGCTCCAGATTGTCTAGGCCACCTTGAGAATAAAATTGCATTTAATTCTCCCTGACTACCTTAAACTTCATCTCTACTCACATCCTTAAAACTACAAATAAACTCCTTGTGTCCTTACCTAAATGTGCTAGTCGGTTCACCCATCCAGGAATTCGCTTTCCTGTGAGACACACGCTAACATCATCGGTGAAATGATTGCAATTCTTGGCAATCAGATGATAGTTGTCTCCATGATATTTGCTAGAAAGATGCTCCATGAATGACTGAATTTCTGAACGAGTCATGTCGGTGCTACCCAAAAGGACTGACCGCCTAAAAACAAAACCAGGGCAATTTTTGGGTTCAACTTCAAACACCCCACTTGTTGGATACTCATGTGCTCCATACCCATACTCTAAACCATGTACTGCAGTCAAACAGAAGCAAAGATTACTACTAAAGTTATAATTTTACAAACCAAAACGACATAGAACATAACCATGTTATGCTAACACATACAGCCAGAACCATTGAACTAATGGACTAAGTCAAAATAAAGGCTCAACATGTCTAATAGCAAGTGATAACAATTAACTGCACAGATCTTGTCAGAATCACATCTATGAGACTTCTTTCAACACATCTATTATTGGATTACATGCAGCCCTTTAGAACCAATGTACTCAGTCATGATTGAAATGCAAAACAGATCCAAGAAATTAGTGAAGTCGTAGATCATCACTCCCAATATAGTCCAAAGTTGCAACAACTATCACCAAAGAGCCATAATTGCACTCCATGTTTTAAGTTACCATCTATATGTCAATATGCCATGTATGACTCAAAACTATAACTTCCAGGAACTACTGAGGATCTGAGTAACAAGTAGCTAAGCATTTATGTCAAAGTTTAATGTTCTTTAAACATTGCCAAGATTAAGGCTAGTATAAATATATGAATCATCATACTGAATTGCATCACCAATATATAACGACAGTAAACAAAGATGAACATCTGAAGATTGATTGAAACATGAGAACCAAGATTAGCATTTTGGCATCGAAAACTTATTCTTACTCAAGATATTACATCATCATTTAGCAGAGAAAGATTTTATAAGATCAATGTACATTTCCAACAACAGATACATAAAGAGCAAAATGGAATAGAAGGTATTGCCGCCTCTTTTTTCACGATACAAAACAGTCAACTCATAGTGAATTAAATTCACAGGTAAGGAAAATTTTTTTAAGCTCCCCACAGAGTGGAGGTTCCTAAGGTGAATTAAGCTTTTCGATGCATTCAGATGCTAAAGTGATGCAAATAAGGCTGCATGTCTGAGAGAAAATATGTGTGAATTAGTACTATTGTGCATACATCTTACATAAATCTATTAAGTGACGACTTGAAAGAGAGATTCTTTCTTCTTGTCAGTGAAAATGATTTTTGTTCATTATTGACTGGAAACAGTGTAAGATTCTAGGCACAAGCTTAAATAAATTGTGTTGTTACAACTGACTATGGTGGGAACAAGCATAAATGATTATGTGAATAAAACAAACTTAATGGTTTTCAGTATCACTGGAGCTCCTCTGTGGAGAAATTTAATATATCCTGCTTACCTAGTTCCACACTCAAAATACCTAAACTGGGTAAAATCTGAAATTATTAGCCCAAAAAGAAATAAATATATCACATAAAATACGTTCCTAGCTGACACTTTATTAAGTTTCCAAGTCAATATAGTTACTCCAGATAAGAGAGATTTCTTAGCATGACACAACAGAGAAAGGTAGCAGCACACAGGGCAATGAACTACAAGAGATTAGAGATTGGCCAGCAATTGGGCAACCAAAAAGTTTTCAGCTTTATGTATAGCTAGAAAAGAAAGACTGGCACAAACCCATGGCCTATGGACATGACTTGCAAACTATCCATGATCTGCTTCATAGCTCAAATCCCGTAGCTTTGCTAGTATTTGACAAGTTGGTATAAAGAGTCCCCAATGAATAACCTTGAATACAAGTTATTTCCAACAACTTGTTAGACAAAAGAAGCATTCCCCAAAACGAGTTCTGATGTAAATATCAGCTGGCAGCCCATGCTTGAAAGAGTCATTTGCAATTATGGACATGGGAGCTGAGTCAGGCTGATGTAAATATCACCTCAATCTGGGTTTGCAAAATTGTTATAACAGTTGCCATGTTGGTAATCATGCCAGACAGGGCAGGAAGCTTCAACCATGTATGGTATATTATTATGGCCTTAAAATGTTTATCCACAACTATTTTAATATACTGCAATGCCTGAAAACTTGTGAGAAGCAATGCAGAGGAGCAAACGGTGCACATCTATATAAACAACAACAAAAACAACATTACACTCAACAAAAACAGTCACACCCTCAAAACTCCTAAAAACAACTAGAGGACAATCAGGTAACATCATGCTAGACAAACAACTGAAATTTAAGAAACAACTTTCTAAAAGGAATAAAGATTCAAACTTTATCACAAACAATCTCCAAACACATTACGATTCATTAGATATAAGCATAAAAAAGTATAGTAAACTAGTAAACCATTACAAAAGGAAAGAAAGATTGGAGCTTTTTTTAATACCTTCAATGCCGGAATGAAAAATCCCAAGCCCGAACCAGTAGAGATAGTCGTTTATATTTGTGAGGTCATATACATTTAAATACAAAGAGACCCGATTTCTCTCTCCATTACTATTCCGATCCTTTGATGAACTCGAACTCGAGCTCAATGGAAACAACCGCATTTTTTTTTACCAACAACCCTCGTTCTCCAACTATGACTCTACAAGGCAAACCTCAGCTTCCGCCGGACAACGAAAACAACGACAACCCTTTAATACTGATCCAAAATAGAACCGAATAACATAAAAAAACCAGTCAGTCGGATTAGCTAATACGGCATAAACATTTAACTTCAATATCATACAAGGCAAAATTCAAGATTTTAGCCAGGACCCTCAAAAACAAAGCTGAATACAGTCATAAAAGAGATTAATTTGGGTTCAGAAATAAGTAGCAGGGGATCTATAAGGTGGGATGCTTTAACTACACTATATCAAACACAAATAGTAAATAACAATTCAGTACATCATAAGTAATCTTGCAAACAGGTAATTATGTAAAAGAAAGAAAACTTACTCTGAGACTATGTGTAAAGTTTGAAATTTTGCTGAAGTGATTCAGGAAGGAGACAGTTGGGGCGGTGTGTTTCTTCGGATCAGAGAGAGAAGAGGAGGAGTGGCAGAGAGGGAAGAATTCATTAATTGGTGGGAATTTCCGACAGTGGAAGACGTTTTATTTCATCTGTCCGATTTTCAAGACAAAGTAAGAAGATGTCTTTTATGGACTGATTTTTTTTATTACCCCGACCCAAACGTCTTGAATCTTGATACTGATAGAGGAAGGTGTAGCACTAATTGTTTATTACTGTGGTTAATCATAGTTTAAGACACATGAATTTTTTCAGACCTATTAGGAGAACTCGCAATTCCTAAACTAAGGTTCGTAATTTGTAGACTTATCTTCTTACTTTTTGGATGGGGTTGATATCGAATTACTTTTATTAGTATTAGTATTACTCAAGAAGACTCTAAATCCAGGATTTTCAAAATTACTTGATAAATGTCCCTAATATTTTAGCTTTGTAGATAAAACAATTGGATAAGTTAAAATCTTAATTGAACAGAGTATATTGGTTTTGCCGCAGGTGCAGGATATTAAATATTCTCGGTCAAGAAGACAGTCCAAGGTGAAGGTTTGTGGAAAATGATTAAGAGCCAGGTGCTGCCAAAAACGGGTAATTGTCCATTGGTTTCTTATCCTCTCTGTATCGAACTAGGAGGCTGGAAAACCCTTGCTACGCACTGCTTTGTACATATTTTAAGTGCTCATGATTACGTGTGATTATGTTAATATTTATTTATTAAATAGCAAGTGAATATTTTCAAGAATAGTTAACTTGAAGGTTAATATTTTTATAAAATGTACTGATATTTAATAGAATTGTGTTTAAATAACATGGAAAATTATACTAATTTATTTGCCGTAATAGTGAATGTACTATATTTGTTAATAAGATTTGACCAATTATATCTGAGTAATTGGGATATCAATGTCAAAGACAATTATTTAGCATATGGATGGAAAAAAATGACAAAATTTTATGTAATTAAAGTAGGGTATACTATTGTATTTACTCACTATATATTCAACAAATATAGGATTTTAGCAATGAATCAATGAATTTTCTTGAAACAATTACAATCATTTTTCACATTATAAATAAATAACTTCCACATAATAGACAAATGAATTACACAAAAAGTCAATAAAGCAACAACCACTAAAAGTACAGACACCTGTTCATCAACAGGACTTGACATATAATTATCACTAGGAGGTTATTGGCTGTGCTAAGCACAGCCTAGGCCCCTATAATCTGTTATCATATCCAAACTTTTTGCATGTTTGAAGAGGGTTGTTGACCTGCTGGGTTTGGTAGCATAGGCGGCGGCTGGAATTGGATTTGCTGAGGATAAATGTGCCGAATTTGTGCTCAGAAGAGCCGTGTGGTAGAGAGAAAGGAGGAAAAGGGTTCAACGGCAATTTGGGAAAGAAACAGTGCAATGGCAAAGAAAGGAAAAGAAATAGAAGGCTTGAAGAGGGGTGTTGACCTGCTAGGTTTGGTAGCAAAATCTCCTTTTCTCCGTTTCTTCCACTCAGATAGCCGAATATGAACCTGCAAAAAATGCTACTGTTCTACCAATTTTCTGAACAAAGCATTGTACTTTCTCTCGGTTAGAACCACAAAAACCCTCCACATCCACGTGATTGCACTTGACCCAAGAATCAGCTTCTTTTAGGGATTGTACTTTCTAACATTTTCTTACAGAAGTAAGAATTTATGCAAATAAATCTAATCCCCACAGTAACTTCAAAAGCCGGTAACTTTTGAAGTCCTGTGAGGGACTTATCTACCCAAACTCCAACCCCCCCAATACCGATGTGGGATAGAAAACCCCACAGGGTGCCCCGCTGCTAAGAGATAAAGACTACCCAAACCTCTGAGAATGAGTTTTCTTTCTGACATTTTCTTACAGAAGTAAGAATTTACGCAAATAAACCTAATCCCCACAGTAACTTCAAAAGCTAATCCCCACATTTTTTAGGGATTGTACTTGGTTTGAATTTACCAGTGAATTCGTCCTTTTTTCTGCTGCTATGAAGTGATTCAACGGCAATTTGAAAAAAAAACATTGCAATGGCAAAAGAAAGAAGAGAAATAGAAGGCTTCGGACAAGAGAAGCTTTAGATTCAGACAATTTGCAAGAAACATTTTACCCTGCCATTCCTTAAAAAAACAAAAGCATATATTTTTTGTCATTCAGAAATTATTGCATTCATTTGCTCAACAAAAATTTTTTTGTTGAAATAAAAGACAAATGTTCACATATCAATAAATTAAAATAAAATTGATTCGAAAGTGTGTATTCTAGTAGTTGGCTATTTCATTTTTGCATTTATAACAAATTGGAACCAATTTTTTTTTTTTATCATTTTCCCACTTTGAAGATATCTTTTTCTTTTCCTCCGAGTTCAAAAATAGCCAAGGTTTGATTAAGAAAGTTTAAATATTTTTTTAGCATGTAGATTAAAATAATAAAATTCTTGCTATCAAATTTGGATATTTCTTTTAATTTTTGAAAATGTGACAATTTTTCTATCATTTTTTGACGGCTTCTAAAATAGCAAAAGTTATATTAACAACATAGCAAAAAAATAAAAAAAAATATAAACTTTCAAAAAGACGAATAGAATTCTATGATTTTTAATAAAGTCAAGTTAATCTGTGAAATATAAGTTTAAATGATATTTCAAATCGTAATAAATATAAATTCAAATAATGATAATGATAATAATATTATAATTGGATTACATCTGTCCAAGACCTAGAGCTTGAAATCAATTTTAAATATTTCTTTTTGTTTTTGAAAATACGATGATCTGAAAAATACTCTCTCAAATTGACATCATAATAAATATAAATTGAAATAATGATAATAATAATAATAATTTGTAATTGAATTACATCTATCAAAAGCTTACAAATTGAAAAATTCAATAAAAATAATTGGACCTCATACTTGAATGCCAAGGTCAGACCAAATTTGGTCATTGTGCAATGCAGTCCAATCTATCTATCTACCGTTGCCTATAAAAAGAAAAGGAAAGAATGAAAGCTCAAAAATTCACTAAGGGTGCCATGTGTCAATGAGACAGCATGCTACAGTAACAGTGCAATGGCAAAAGAAGACAAAAGAAGGAAAAGAAATAGAAGGCTTAAGACAAGAGAAGCTTTAGATTTAGACAATTTGCAAGAAACATTTTACCTTGCCACTTGTCAGATAATTAAGAAACCATGTGGCAAGAGGAAAGGAAAACACTAAACCTTGCTCTTTTCTTATATACAAGGTAGATTATAATGAAAAAAAAAGTTCAAATTATGAAAATCTCATGCTTCCGAATGTCTTCCTTGAATCAAAAGGTCCAAAATTAGATGTCTTTCCTCAATCAAAAGGTTCAAAATCAAAAGTTGCGTGGTAATCACAACTGAAAGGAGGACGACGAAAATCGCTTGGAAGGTTTCTTAGCCACTTTGCAATTAGAAAATTGATTTAGGTACATAAAGAATCGACTAACATTAATGTTAGAACGTGAACAAGCATAAGAGGCTTTGAAAAGGTAAACAGTTCACCTTGACAAATCAAACCACTAAAAGTTTCACGAGTTTTCCCAATGTATTTATACATATGATGGACAATTTTTTAAGAATTTACTCCTTTTAATTTTCTTGTGACATTGATAGAGGAAATGCAACGAAGACAGAAAATTTTTCCTGGATACCATTTGCCGGAAGAAACATGCCTATAGTGATCCGATAGGATGTTGCCCATTGCATCTGACCAGGAAAACCAACAAGCCGATGCGTACCATCCATTTTTGGATTAATTTATTCCGCTGTACAAGAATAATTTGCTTCTCCACAGGCAAATCACATGCTTCGTTTTTTCCTTTCAGTTTTCTTTCAAGCTGTAGCACTCATGTGAGTTGTTACTTCATTTGTATTTTGTTAGTTGTAGATTGTAATTATTTTCCTCCAATACTTCCTGATTGGAAATTTGCATTTGCTTCCTCAACACAAGGAAGTGCAGATGCATGAGAAACGAGAACACTTTGTGTTTCAAGCAGGATGAGCAATAGATGATTCGAAGATTAAGGGATTGAACCATCGTTTTGGTACACAAATTTGTTCATACAATTACAGGTGATGAATGCCGTTTTCTTTCGCTACAAACAGCAAGTTCTGATAGATGGTTATATAGAAAATGTGTGTCAAACTTTCCTTGTATTAGATATATAGTAAAAATCATTTACACAATCAAACATTATGTTACTGCATTTTACACTTCAAGATATATACATCAGTACAGGGTTATTTGCTGCCAATTTATGCATCCGTTGTAATACTTAATTCATCAATGATCATGCCAACTGCCAAGATATATGTAATGGCTGCTTTATCTCCATCAGATGCAAAAAATCAGAAAAGAGATGCAGCAATGAAGCATTCCTTGAAGGTATATCTGCTGTCAAAGTACTATGTGCTGTTTGAATCCTGCCTGTGCAATTTTAACTGGTTTGACAGGTAGAATTTGCGTCTTCAACAATGTTGAAGTACAAAGAGGAAAGCCTGCCATCAAATTTAGAGGCCAGTTGATGGACTGCTAATCCACAATAACGCTTTCCCATCCTCGCAATGCAAATGTCAGTGATTTTCTTAAACATAGTGTCTTCTTGGATCAAAGGCTGCTTTACAAACTCAACCAAAGGCATCCACTGCGTAGCAAAGCAAGAAAACTTAAAATAAGTATCTGACCAATATATACCACTTGTAGTTACCAAACTTGCTCAATATATCCCAAAAGTTCAGTTCAAGACCATATACTCCTGTCAAAAAACTGACTAAAAGTTTTAATTGATTTTCTTTTACGAACTTGCGTGTTAAAACCAGAACAGAAAATCAAATTTAAAGAGATTCTGGCGTCTGTTTACCTTGGCTGCTTGAATTTCATGATCGTCAACCATAATCTGTGTAGAAAGAGATCGTAACATGCAGATGAAAAACAAATCTGACTTCTCAAAAGCCACATTGTGAGCATGCCTGAAAGAAAGGAGTGTACAGATAGCTTATGATAAGGAATGGATGTCTCCAGATCCAGTACATTACAGATACCATTAGCAGTTATATGCAGATGGAATGAGTTTACTGCTGATAGTTGAGGCATAGTGACGTAAATCACATTCGAGATAAGGATTTGGGAGGAAATCATTGGATGGCATCATTTAATTTTATTTGCTTATGCGCATTCTTCCAAAATAGTATGAAAGAAAAACGAAAAAGCATGCTAATATAATCTGCAGCAGGGTACTCTTTCATTTGAGAGAGATGCTTGCAAGAAAAGCAAGGATAGTGTTATTACCTGAAAGCTATGACTTCCACAAATTCACTGTCAACCTGGAAATGTGAAAGAATATCCGTATGAGTTAGTTGATTCACACTTTATTTTTTTTTTTATAACAAGTAAAAGGCAACAATCCTTTAGGTTTAGGAGTCCGTGGAAATGATGTCTTACTCCAGTTTCCTCTTTAACTTCTCTCACAGCACCCGTAAAAATCTCCTCAGACTGTAATACATGACAAAAAGTTATTTATCTAACGGATGCCATCCTGTTATTGTGTCTACTATTCATTTTCATTTCCCAAAGGCATTTAAGCATTGAAATCCAAATTCATTACTGCCAAAGATACCTCAAGAATGAAACCAGTGGGTATTTTCCAGAGGCCAGCTAGCCCTGTGGGACTGTATTTTTCCTGTACTACTAACACCTGCATTAATCATGGGATAGTACTTCATAAATGATTGTATTGCAATGGCTAGAGTTGGCATAACATTGCTAAGAAACTTTCCTCAAGACTTCCGAGGATGCAGAATGAAGATTAGAACTGACAGTTTTTGGAAGAGTTCTGAGGCAAACAATATGCTATTCAAGCACGTTTTAAAATGATGATCACAACAAAAACTAAGCAAGCTCCTCACTCTCCCTAAAGCTTTTAAGGTACTGGTTTCAATCAAGTAATAAGGCCAATTTGATTTGGATTTGCTTTATTCTTTAAACATAAGCAAATATACCTCATTGTTTTCGTTTATCACAAAACTCCCAACTCCAACTTGATGGGAGGCATTAGATGGGAGCAAGCAAGGTTCTTCAGGAATCCAATATGTCATCATGACATATTCGCTTTCTGCATGGTGGTACTGAAACCCTTCCTGTTTTGATGGATACGCAAATCAGGGATTGCATTCAATTGGAAAGAGGCCATATACTTGCCAAAAAACATTCTGTCATTTGTCAATTAGAACAATGATCTTAGATCAAATTCATATGGGAGGGTGCAAATGGAACTTTAGGGTGGAACTGTACCTTTACTGCTATAGGAACAAATTCAGATTTTGTTATTGGCAGCTTGAGCCACACACCCTTCTTGCCCTGCAATTTGTTGGCCTAAAAGTGTGAGTTCATCAAGACTGAATTTCGAAGCCATGCTCTGATCTACTTGTATTGCAGAGGAGGATTAAATGATGGATAAAGTTGCGATGATACAAGTGGAACGACAAGTCATAAACAAACGGAAACTAGATAAGTTTAGCCACATGAAAGTAGTAATGAGAGAGTTGAGCATGTAAGATTCATATCAAGAGCTCCATATCACATCATTAAAGCTTTTATCACTACAAAGTGATGCTCCAAGGAGACTAATCACAGTACAGCATGACAAAAGTGAATTACCTTGGCTTTCCAATGAGAAAGTGATGAACGAAGTATGGAGGCAAAAGAAGTTGGATTAGATGGTAGACCTTCTGAATGAACGATTACTCCATTATATTCATCATCGAATGCATCAAGCACCCTGGCATCCTCGTAATACATACTCGAACTGTTTGTTCCATTGACTCGATAAGGAAAAGACTCGAATAAAATTTCTTCTCCGACTGATCTGATGGTATTATGTGAAATACTTGAATAAGAAGCCTTGGGATATGTAACTGAGCACAGAAGACAGAAAACAGGAAGGTGAAGGAGGGAGCAGATATTGTATATGAAGGTTTAGGATCTATCATCCAACCTCCTACATGAATACTGTAGTATCCCTAGACAGTGACATCAATTTATCTTGCAAGAGCAGTAAAAGGTTTATGGCTTCTGTACGTACAACAAAAATAGCATTTATTCAAAGTACTAGTTCAGGTGCTTTTGCGACCTGATAAACATTCCTGACATTCTTTTGTTATTCCAATAATCAGTGAATTACCATTTGACAATCACAATGGGGTTTTGTGAAAGGCAAAAAACCTTAAATTGATGAAAGGAAAACAAATTGCAGAATGTTCTCACTCATCATGCAAGAAGAGAGGTGTAACATGAGTAAATGATGAGAAAAATCATAAACAATAATGGAGAACAAGATGATTATAACCAAACATTTTGTGCTTTATCAACTGGAAGGAAGTATTCACGGAGAATTAAGGTCAGATTGGAAGGAACGTGGATTCAGCCATTATAATTCATGGACAGTAAAGGTCAGATGATTACTTTCCATGGTTCCCTACTTCCTGAGGCCAGCCAAAGAAGGAAAGTCAGGGGTCCAGGTTGGAGGTAAAGAGTTTACCTCTGCACGAAAACGATTGCATAATAACCTCCCTGCAACCAGCCATGCGCCCTGGGTTTATAAAGGAGGTTGAAAACATCATCTCTGTTCCCACCATCTTGGACATGGGCACCGACTTAACAGCAGACGGTTTAAACTGCATTTACACTTTTCGATCTCAACTGATCCACCCTTGAACACACCTTCCAATGAAGTCAGAGCCAATATATGAAATCTTATCGGATAATTAGAAGAAACAAAAACCCCTTTAAACTAATTAAGATTCCCTCGAAATTGCTAGAAACAAACAAGGGAGCTCTTGAGATTCCAACCGTCGGAGTAAACTAGAGGGCAGCTCACCTAAAAGACTCGGAAAATTACAATTCTTGATAGAAGAATCGACAAAATCCCGTGAGTGTAGATTAAGAATCAAAGGGATAGAAGAAGCATAACATCCATGGTTTTTGGTCATGCAGAACCTCAAAGTCTAGAACTAAGCAAGTGGAGTAATGCTGGGAACATGTGGTCTGAAATAGGCCTGGGGGGAAAGTGACAAAACTACTTGGAAAACTGACTACAAAAATCTTCCCACGTATGCATGGCTATTAGCAGACAAGTTACAAGTAACTTGAAACTTAAATGAAGTCACTAACGAATCTACTGCGCCAATCCAAATGGCCAGGTAATTGCTTATAGATCAAATTAACAACTAGCATAAAATCTGATTTAGTCTTGTTTATGACAGTATCAAAGGTGACTCAAATGTTGGCTTTTGTGAAACCGAACCATCATGATGAGAGACTAGAGGATTGAGCTTCTTGATTTGGCCCTAATGCAGGCTATGCATGTTCCAGTAAAGTTAATGAAATATTTTAACTAATTAATTCTTGATTTAATTCTTCTTCATTTTAAAATGGCTGCAATTCTAGGCGTTTTTTAAATTACCTAATTAATTTACCATCAAAACTTGATCTATTAATAATGCAATTTTAAGTAAGCATTCCACTAAGAAGAAGATGATGCGAACACGTTGGCGGTGCATTTTTGATGCAGAAATCAATTCCTTGAAAGCAGACGAGAAACGGGCCAAATTGGAATTCACGAATCACGATGTAGCAGTATCAAATCTAAACGTTAGTTAAATAAAGTAAAACAAAAAAAAAAAAAAAGGGGACCAGTCCAATCCAGTCGAGTCGAGCAACGTAAAAACAAAAAGACGAGGAATAGCGTCACGTTTTGGAGTCCCACCTCTTTTGTAAAGTACGGGACATTTTCGTGGACGCCGTTACCGCACGTGATTTCCAATTTATTGCGGGGCCCATCGTCCTCTTACGTGTCCGAACCCAGTGACTGAACAAATGTTAGGATAATCCATCTACATTATTGATTGGTTGCATTGCGTTGCGTTGGTTGGCTGGAGAGGTTTATTAGATTTTCCTTTTTGTTATTTTTCTACTATTACCATAATATTAAAATTAAGATTAAGGTTTTTTCTTTAAAATTGAAGGTTCGTCGAACTCGAATTCAACCTCAAATTCTATTCTAGATTAGACAATACACTTCAAACTCGAGCTCTAAGATGCTCTCTCAAGATTTTACAATTCTTCTTCTTGTAGTCCCTTAAAAAAATTTCAAGTTTTCATTTATGTCCCTGTAGAAATTAGAATTTCCCCGTCGCCCAAGATTTATGTCCATTCTAGTATTCATGACGACCAGTGAACCAACTTAATTTATTCATCAAATTTTTATTTCCAACCATTTATTCATGACAGCCATTACATTTTTTATTCATCAAACTTTTATTTCCAAGTAAAGTGATATGTGTATAAGTCAATCAATCTCAGGTATCACTCTGAATTAGATAGATTCTGGACAATTATACACAGATCGCTTCCTATTTAATTAAATCAGATATTTAAACTATTCCGTGCCTTCTTTTTTTTTTTTTTTTCAATTTAAGGGAGACTTTGAAACTTACATTTATAAGGGAAAAGATAGGAGAAAGGTAAACAATTAGATTAGAGATCTCAATGTCGTTAATTTGTGTGTTAATTGTGTTAAATTATAATTTTGCGGATTGCAGCTAATTTTCTAATGGGTGCCAAATGTACCTAAATTCTACTCAATCTATCATGTATGTACACGCACACTAACAATTACTATACTCCCTTGCATTTATACAAATTTTTTTATTTAATCTTACATTTTTAAAAATTTAACACCTGAAGTATATATTAATAAGTGTCCAATTAACACCAATTAGACAGACCTTATGTGTATTACTGTGCTAATTTAAGGGGTCACTATTACTACTTTTAAGCCAAGTGGATTAGTAAGTATGTTGGCATACGGAAACACTGCTGTTGCATTTGGGGCTGAAATTATGTTATTCTGGCGTAGGAAATTAATTTTGGCAGTCATTGTTGTAGATTTGAGGCGATTGGAGATTTTGTGGTGCTTGAAAATTGATAAATATTTTCTTTTTGCAAGTTGAATTTTGAGAATAGAAAAGTTCTGTATTTAAAAAAAAACAATAATTATTTCAATTTTAATAAAAATGACAACAAAAAAAAGAAACTCGAGGCGTTTAGTTTCATCTGTTCCTTAAATGATAACTTGTATCAAACAAGTTTATGTTCTCTTTTTATTAAGACCGTGACTAAACAAAGGAGCTGTTAGTAAAAAAAATCATAAATTGCAGAACACAAACTTCACCAAACGGTCCTAAGGAACTTATTTGCAGTCATTGCTTTTGTCCAATCAGAAAACACAAGACATCATTGGTATAACTGTGTATGAAGGGAAGAAATTCAGCTTTCATGGTGTGAAGATCTACATCATATGCATATATATTCCTTTCAACACTCACAAATATATGCTCAAACTTGAATTCTTTAATCTTTTCGTGCCGTTTGCACTTGGTTAGCATAAGCTTGAACTCGAACATTAACCGAGCAAATTTGCACATAGCTCAATTGAACTCGATTTATTTGCAAGCCTACTTTTTGACATCTACAGTAAGCCCTTCCAAATGTGGAACATTTGGGAACCATGTTCCTTGAACCTTCTTCAAGCTCATTTGAACGTGTTGCAGGCACATTTTTTCTTAATGACCTTTTGAAGCACCAGCAAATTTAGAGGAAAAAAGAAGTGACAAGACATTTTTGTTGGCTAAATACACTGACTCGATTTCTTGCCTGCATTAGATGAAATCAGGAGTGACTGACCTAGTATAGGAGAGAAAAACCACAAATCGACAACCTTGTTCATAGATAGTGAAATAAATGTAAAAGCTTTTATTTATAATTTTGTGCAAATGGGATCGCTTGGTGCACACTTATGATCATACAGTGATGGACGAGCGCAGAATTTCGTCTCAACTTGTCTGGCAGCTTGTAACAGAGGAGGGAAATGAATAACAAAAGAGTTGCAGAAACCACCAATGGCATCAGTAGCTATCAGAGTGTGTAATGAGAATTGACATCTAAGTCTAATCCCCGTAGCTTTGCAAAGGATTCCACCTTGCCTTTCAATGTGTGAAGTTCCCTCAACCTATTGAAAGAAGAAATGCAGACGAACTTCTTAGTATCCATTCTCACATATAGTGCAGGTTTTAGCTTTACTGCTCCTTCTGGGGCATTAGGTATATGCAAGGCAAGTATTTATGGTTTGCAGAACGAGACTGAAAGCAAGTTGGCCGTCTACACCCTACATCTTCAGTTTAAGAGGAAGAAATTAAGACTAACCTTGCAATCTCTGCACGTCTTCTTGCTTCTTCAGCCATGATGCTGATCTCCCTAAAATTATGCTTCTCGTTGAATGCTTTTGCTTCTGCAGACTGAAGCCCATGAAGGGTTCGCTGCTCAGCTGCCCATGCGGCCTCCCTAAGTTCCTTTCCAAAATCCTTTTGTGTGGAAAATGCCATCTGGTGATCAGAGGAAGCATTATTACCATTAGTCACGCGATTGTAAAATGACCTCAATTGGAGAACAAAAAATGGTCTCATAGTAAATGATCTATATGGTATGAAAATTTTATCATTTACTCACCCTTTGACTTAGTAGCAGATTCCAGGGTTTGCCACTGAGTGCATACCGAATGCCAAATTTGATAGGATCAAGCAGCAAGTAGCTGAGAATGTTATATAGCCAAATCACACCAGTCCAACCCCATCCAATCTTCCTGATTCCGCAAAATTTCGATGTGGCCACAGCAGACAGTATGGTTGCAAACTATCAAGATAATGCATTATTGAAGTCAAAGCCAAGCATATACTTTGTTTCAAACAACAAAGAGAACAATCTCGCCAATTCTCTACCAGATATCTAAAGAAAGGCCAAGGTACATCATGGAATTTTTGTTTATAGGTAAAATTGCCTCTATGTAGCAACTTCTGAACCATGCTTACCAATTGGGCAATGATAAATGCAGCAAGAAGAAGAAGACCGGGCCTTTCTGTGTATGACCATCCTCTGGAGCGCGTCACAAAGATCAAGGCTTGACTGATGGTGCTGACTTGAAGATAGACAGCAGAAGCTAGTTGTGCATTTAGGTGCTTCCTGGCATCCTCATTTGTGAGATTGTAAAGCCCTTTGTTGAAGTCAGTCACATGGAAATGTTTCTGACAGAAAGCAGACATTATTAGTTGAAATTGTCATCTCTTTTACTGGAACTGAAGTGTTGTTGAAATTGAACTGTATAAGATCATAAGCACATTCTTCATTTCAGCGACCACATATACAGAGAATGCATTTGGTTATTCAACTCTCGAATGTGTGCACAAGTTAGCCATAGGCAGTAATGAATAAAAGTTTTTAATTTTTTTTTTCAGAACTCACTATAAACAATGAAGAAGATGTGCACTTACAGCAAAGAAGCTTGTTTCATATGTCACGTAGAAAAATATAAGAGTCATCAGTGCAAGGTAACTGCCAATTACAACGCCTGTTGCAAAAATTTCACTAAGCTTCCAGCTGTCGGGAAGTGGAGATGGCTTGACCCTGTCTTTTGATATAGTCATTATAGTACCTGGAGACAAAATGTGAGAACCAAGAAACACATTAACAGGAGTAATAAGCACAAACTCGTTGTCAATCTACTAACATTTTATATACTTCACAGCCATATTAAATATTTAAGACTTACGAAACTCAAGATTTTTGTGTCTTACCATCATTGAGAATTGCAATTACAAGAACCATGAAAGGAGGGAAGTCAAATTTCCAGAATGCAGTGAGCAACATGAACCCCAACTGTTAAGACAACAGAATAAACAACAGAAATGAGTATATTGATGGCATCTTTCACGTGCAGTTTAGGTACTGAAATAGGGAAACTGCATTAGCTTACCACAATACGGATTGTGATGGATACAGCATATATCTGGATAAAAAGGAGAAGAGTTTCAGAACGTACATGTAATGAACTAACAACTTTTGGTCTACAGTAAGGCTGTAAATGGAGAGTAATATATTACAGTGTAATTCTTCATTCTCTGGAATATGGCTCGGCTTGTTAATACC